TAATACTTCATCGGTGCTTATGTACAGCGTGAATCTCGCAACAAACGATGGCGCCTTAAGACGCTTGGATGCGGTAGTTTGTTAGTCTGGAAAAGGGTACAATATTTATCCAATACTTCATGCCGCGTTTATGATAATTCTGGAGTGATTGCCGTAGTCTTGTTCTGTTGATCCTCGGCGAGGCGAGGCGAGGCGAAGCGAGGGATTTCTCGGCAGCCCACTGCACACTTCTCTTGGGCTTATTGACCGAGCGGCTGTGCTCGGGGCGTGGGCGAGGGGGGTAAGGGGGATAGGAAGGAGCTGGCCTGCGATGCAGCAGGCGAAGGTGCGAGATGTGGAGTGGCGGGGAGTGAGCCTGACCATACATGGCTGCATGTGTAAGATAATGCTTATTAGCATTTGCAGTTAATAAGGATGCAGATTGCAGATTAATAAGGATGTAAGTCATTATTGTATTATCTACTAAGTGCATATTACTTGTTTTATAATGCAATAACAATATAAAACTTCACATATTCATCGAATCAAATATTGAAGTAAATATTTTCACACGTTATACTGCAATAGGTAAGTTGCTCACTACAACACATTATATTTAAGCCACAGAAGGTGTGCGATAAAATATCGAATGATTTTTTGTATTTATCATTCTAACAATTAGTTATTATATATTTCAACGTTTAGGAAAAGAAATATCTATAGAAATCAAATCACACATCAGTTTTCGATTAATTTACCTATTAAAACATCTAAAATCATTTTTTTGAATACCAGCATTAGAAACGACCGTTTACGTTGCATAAAGTGCTTTTTTTTGGCACACATGACATTTTATGGCATAGCTCGTCTCCACCCCCTCGTTTCCACCGTCCGTCTTCATTGACCGTCCTCATGGTCGGCCCTCACTGTCAGTCCTCATTGCCCTTCCTCAGCGCTCGCCCTCTGCCTATCTTCAACTTGTATCGTCCCTGCCCTTGTTCTCTGCGTGACGTCGTAATACCAACACAATAAGTTGCCAACTGCAAAACTGCTTTTGAAATTTGTTTCTAAAATTAATTAATTAAATTGGTTGTTCTTTAAATTTGTAATGCTATTATACAAAAATCGCGTATGCAACTCGTTTATTATGTTGCTTTACGGCATTCATACAAATTTCACTTTTCTCTCATATATATAATTTTCTGTACATATTTGCCCGAGGTGAATTTGGTTCCTCGGGGTCGCGGGCGCCGAGCCTTCCCTCGGAGGCACTTCGCTTTCCTTTCGCGGGGAGGAGCGTCTTGGGCCAGCAGCGGGGGCGGCGGCGCGGGCGGGCGCGTGGGCGAGAGGGCGGTCGCGCAGCGCTGGGCGGCGCTCTGCGGGCGGCGACGAGCCGAATCACTCGCCGCCGCCGCGGTAACGAATATTCCCAAGCCGCCTAAAAGAGGAAACCCGAAGGCCGGACGGAGGGCCATTATGTCCGGATGGCGGGCGGTAATGTGTAGCCGGCGGTGGTATGGCACCGGGATTGTGGCTGGCGGGCCGCCGGTGCATACACCACAATGCTATGAGATACGCCTCATTTTCATCATCGCGGCACCGCGCGGCCCGCGGCGCCGCCCAGCACTCCCCTCCCCCTCCCCCTCCCGTCCCCTCCCTCCTCCCCCTCCGCCGGCCACCATTGTTAGCCACCGCCCACCCTCGCGCCCCGACTCCCACCCGCCTCGCCCAGATCGCGCTTCATTTCGCTGGAGCTGCGGCCGGACGCCGCCCTTCGCCCGCCTCGCCTCGCCGCGCCGCGCCCCGTCTAGCACCTCGTATTCGCAGCCCGTCCCCCGCTTTTCTCTTTGGCCATCACTCGTTGTTCGCCATATTCCATGTAATACGCCCGTTATAGCATTCAAGTGAATTCATTATTTCTCGCCATATTTCGCCTCGTCCGTATCATTTGCGGCACCCTCTGATCACCTTTTGCAATGTTACTCGTACATCGTGTACCCTAATATTCTTGTCATAATAATCTTGGGTGTAATTTCAGTTTTGATTCTTCATTAATTTTCTACCTACAGGTATAATGATCATTACTGTAATCCTCCTTTTCCCCAAATAAAGTGGAATTCTACTCCGTAAAAATAATGTTATTTTATAATCTTGACAATCATTGCTCAACTATTCAACTGGTTTTCTGTTCTTCACATGCCTACTTTCATCTTATTCTCCGCAGCCATCTGTTTGTGATGAGTGCGGTCCTCCCTGGCTATCGGTTTCCCCCAGCCCCACCCACCCAGCAGCGACCCATCGCCGCCCTGCCACCCTCGGCCTTATGGAAATGCCCCGCCCCGGGCCAGGGCGGCTCCGCTCTGCTCCGCTGCGGCCGGGCGGGCGGCGGGCGGCGCGGCGCGGACAAGAAACCTGTTTAGAGATTCACCGCAGCCAATTACCTCACGCAATGAAATGATAGAAACGAAATGGAATTGCTGAAAATGCCGCGTATGCGCCGCGGCGACGCGGACGGCGCGGTTTAGACAAAACGCCCAGCCCCAGCGCGTAAATCACGCTTCGGAAATGAATTGACAAAAATATGGCACTGATTGCGTGATGTATGGGCCCCCACTGGAATTCGTGGTTGGTTTAGCTGCCGCCTGCGAGCGGATGGCGCTGCTGATGACATTTGGATTGCGAAATCCACGCAGTCATCCTTTGTTCCTTTTGCTCGGCCGCCTCCGGTTCGGAAGGCTGCTCCCTTTGGAATGCATAGCAGCAGCGGTGAGTCAAAGCTGTGTCTCGGGCGTAATGCGATCTAGATGTATCGCGCAGCTGGTTAGTGAGATGCTATGAGATACATTTTACACCAGTTGCTCTTTTTTGTATGCCCTTGGTTCCTCTTAATTAATTCATTTTTATATTCAGAAATAATTTTTGTAATATTCTCTAGAAAGAATTAATTATTTCGACGACTTAAGAGCCCTTGTGTTAATTTTTTTATTTCTTCATATTTGTTTCAGCTAATTAAAAAGAGTTAATAGAAATATGTGTTTTTGAAATCATTACCAAAGTTATTGTACATTTCTAATTTTTAAAATTGACAATAATGATTGAAGGGTTAAACCGTTGTTTTTAAATTTAAATCTCGTGTTTTCTGTTTAGTTTACGACTCATAATTGGATCTTAATCGTAATGTGTTTATAGCGTAGTGGAAGCTTTTATTCGCTCCTTTGTTTGGCTATCTATAAGATAATTCGAAGGTGTAAAGAGAGTGAAGTTTTAAAAGCTATTTTGAAGAAAAGTGGAAATAACATGTTGTGTTACTATTGGAAAGCAGGGAATATTAAAGATAAACTAAATTCACTAGATTTTAATAGTAGACTTTTTCATGTAATTGTAATATTTGTTGTGAATATCATGATCTGCCAAAGCCACAAGACTCCATCGTCACAACAAAAAAACAGAGAAAAACAAGAAATAACTTCCCGCATAGTTTGATGACGTTCGGTAAGTGGTCCTGCCTACGGAAGGTCGATTAATTGTAGCAACATTTTCTGAGGGGAATTCAATAAACTACCCAAAATATCTAAACTGCTATTAAGTCCATTAACTCTCTCGTGTCGATTTGTATGATGACTTACTTTAAATATCCGAACGGACTTTACAAGAAGTCCTGCTGAGCACGAAGTTTATCAACCTTCAACTCGTCTCCTCCAAACCCGTTCTTTATCCACAATCCTGTTGGTAATGTATACAGGCGTGCGGAACCTTAAACAAGATGCGAGCAACCACATTTCTTGGTCCTCTTCAGTATTGATTTGTACTTTCTCGCCTCACTTCGAAAGAAAAAGTGTTGTAATCAAACACCGAAAACGGCGATTTTCGACAGAAAACTTATTGCTGAGCCCTGATAACTAACAAGAAGTTAAATCGTGATCTTATAGGAAGTAAATTACTTAAAATTTGGCCCCCTCGTCAGTGCGCCGAAGGTAATGTTTTTTTAATTAATTTTCCTGGTGCAGTGGATTTACCACTTTACAGAAAACAAATGTAGACAACTTTCACATATAGGACAATTTTCTATGTTCAATTATTACATATAGGGAGGTTGTCGCCTCTGAGGTATTCTTCAATCATCCAGCAGTGTAGAATTAATTTTTCTGTTTAGTTATCCGAAAGCATTTTTTAAAATATATTTTGCAGTAAGACTGGGGTAAGTCATGGGATTGATTTTGGGTGAGTGAAATTTGTCCTTGAGAAATGCGGAGCGGATTTTGTTTGTACAAAATAGGAATTTTGCCTAGATGAAAAAATCTTCTGTGCTGAAAATTAGGTAGTTTTGATTAGAACCTATCTGAGATGCTGGAAATAAGGATGGAATGGTAATGAGTGGGGGCGGATTTGTAATGAAATGTTATTTTGCCTTTCACTTTAGAACAATGCCGTTTAGAATAGACATTCATTTTATGCAATGACGAAACAAAATGACTCATTTTTATATCTTTTTTTTGTTGCATTTTTCGACGATTTCGACTAATAAGTCTTTTTTACCTTTTTACGTCATTTTTAATACATTTTCTCTGATTTTATCGATTTTAAAATCATTTTAATGGTACGGTCTTCAAACAATATTCACGAGGTGCAACAACCGAGGTTCACCACAGAATTCCTGAGTAGCCTATTTGATTTGTTCGCTCGTATATTGTAATATCAGCCGATGTGAGTTCTATGTAATCGAAGGTTCCTGTGCCATTTATCCGCGCCATTGTCAGTTCGACCGATTTCACATTAAATAAAGACGGATATTTTTGTTTGAAGACAGATCAAACCCAAAGTTTGCAAGCTGAGTTTACTTGACCAAAAGGAAGAAGCCTCGATTACATCAGTAACATATCCAACAGCTTGAGTTGTTCATCTGAAGTGGTTTCGATCAAATTTTTACGTACTTTTTCTTTGTTTTTAGGTATTTTTTCAAGCATTTTAAGAGCATTTCATCCACCCCCTAATAATGAGTGTTGTTGTTGGTGCTTTCGCAGGTTCGACGCGAGCAAGTCGACGAAGGGCGCGAGCAAGCTGCGGCGGGACCTCATCAACGCGGAGATCGCCAACCTGCGGGACCTGCTGCCGCTGCCGCCCTCCACGCGCCAGCGCCTGTCGCAGCTGCAGCTGATGGCGCTCGTGTGCGTGTACGTGCGCAAGGCCAACTACTTCCAGCAAGGTAGGGCCAGCCCTGGCCTGCCCTGTGCAGGGCCCTCATTAATATGCGTCACAAGGCCGACGCGAGATTGCAACTGTTTGCTGTTTACTTTATAACTTTACTATGTAAATTTATATTGGAAACTTTCAGTTAAGCTTAATGAACTCGTGTTTATTATTTCTCAAGAAAGCTGCAGATTGACTTACGATGAAAGAGGAAAACCTTGCACAGTCTTGTAATCAGTCAGTTACAATGAACATGCTCGTAGAAAATAATGTCTTATTCAGTATTTTTTTATAAAGATTGGCGTAATAAATATTGAGGCACAATCTGTTAATACTTCCTGAAGTGAAGGTCATCGCAAACTTCATTTTATGTGGAATAGGCGTACTACGAAAGCAGTTACAATAACTCTTGGGTAGCAAAAATGAAGCTGTGTAATGATTTTGGTTCATTTTGTATAAACATTAAATTCTGAAAAAAAAGTGAAATATAATTTTTTTAAACGAAAATTCTGTGTTTGTTGGAATTCAAATGATGAAATAATGAAAGTCATCTCCATCAACTTAATATTAAGTAACTTTCATTATTTCTTCTTATAACTTTCATAATTAACATTCATTATTTCTTCATATAATTACGTCAGGAATATCACATCAAAATTCCCACACTTCATTGGCGTTTAAAGTCAAAAAACTAAATATATTGTTTTTGCTGCGATATGCCTTACGTTTTAATTTTATTATTTTGCAAATTACTAGCTTCTTCCGAATGCAGGAATTATATTTTTACATATTAGGAAATAAGTACAGAGTAGCAATTGACAAAATTGAAGGGGGGAATTCTGTGCGTTGTTTGGATATGTTTTAGACACTTTTCAAATTGGGTATCTCTAAAAGATCAACATTTTCTTGCCATTTGTATTACAAATGTTTATTCAAAGTATCTTTGTCAGCATACAATGTTAACAATGCGAGAATGAAAGCTTATTGCGATACAAGTGTTCAGACTCAACCACGAGATCCATAGGCGGATAGACAGGATACCTGAGCTGCTTCTCGTAATCTGCTATGCATAGAGTGGTGCCTCGGGAAGCCTTATTTTCGAGGTTCATTATCTCGTTATGTTTTAAAGTAGCCTCGATAGCACTAATGCAATCTGGGCTAGCGCGAGGGGATAAGATATCGCGGTGATCTGGCGAGCGCCCTTATACGGCGTGTCGGCGCATTGTGCGTCTAAATGATCCTGGCGACGACGCGTGGACATCCAGCTGGCGATTTCATGGGCGCCTCCCCTCGCCCCGCCCCACTCGCCCCGCCCCCACTCGGACTGCTCTGGACGAAGAGATTTACCCAGCAGTCAGCACGCGTTCCAGCGAACGCAGCCAGGGTCACATGAAGGCCCTCGGCTGTCCGGGCGACGCCTCTTCGAGGGCTCCAGTCCTGAAGAAGACCACGGTATGTCGTCGGTAGCACTGCTCTCGATGCGGATTCATATCGTGATATAGCGAATTGGAACCTCAAAGTAGATGAAAGGCCAACTCGTGTGGTAGAACGTAATTTTGTATTAACCAATTTACACCCACATTTTAAATTTTATACTTGTGGAAATTTTTTTAATTATTATATAATGTATATCACATAAACATTCTAATTCGCAAGCTATTATTTCTTATTAGGTCGATCGTATAGAAATATTTTAAAAATAATCTTTCCAGATTTCACAGATTTCTATTTTCTACTTGAGGACGGACAGTTTTCACCAAAGGGATGAACTCATGCACGCAGTAAGTTTTAAAAATAAAAATTCATTGGGTGGGGGGGGAAGTGACTATAATTTTACTTCAAAGGGTCCACCATAAAGTAGACACATTAACCGGCGCCCAAATATATAATACGAGTATTTACCGAGCAAAAAAAGATTTGTGTTTCAAATCGCAATTGCAATATCTTAGATTCGAAAAAATAATTCAACTGAAGTGTTAACAACAGGTTCCCGTGGCCACTGCCAAGCAATTGTTCTTAGAAATAGAGTTTGAATGAGGGACGGAATTAGTAACGGAAACGATATGAAGCATTTTATTTTTCAAGAAATTTCACCGTCTTTTTTAGATGTGTACGTGATGTAAACGTATATACACATTTTATCGTATTTCTTCAAATATAGAACGTACATTCCGTCAAAAAAGAGAGAAATCATAAATTCAGATGTCAAGGTGTTTTACACAACCCTGTTCTCTTTAAACTAAATTTAAAGTCGAATAGTTAGAGCAGGAGTTATAGCAGGCGAATTTTATATATTTCTTTCAATGTTTTATTAAGAGGACGATGGGTAAATCATCGTTTTGTTAAGACACATGTATGGATAAAGAGGGATTGAAAGTTTAGATGAGTAGTCTGGGATTTTTTATTGCGTTGAAACTTTTATTAGACTTTTCTGGTTTTTGATGCGTCAATTAAGGAAGCGAACAACGAACATAAGTGCCCTATGAGCTCTCAGAAGTGCCGCTTGGATCGTTAACTTCTTCGCTCTCCTCTTGCTTGTGTGGATCATCCCCGTTCTTGTTCCTGTAACCAACATTGTGCCCAACACAACTCGCATTCCTTCCTTGAAACCGCTTCTCACATGATGTCTATACTACGCCTCTCACTTGGTATTTTGGTACAACCCTGTAATCAAACATGAATTATGGCACATTGGCACTGAGTAGTTTAACGTTTCAACAATTTCATTGCAGCCTCTGTTTTTGCGCGCCCGCGCGATCAAGTGTCCGAGAACTGCGAGGAGTCCCCTCGCACATGCCGCTTCGGCATCGACCGCTCGCGCTCGCCGTGATCGACCTGCTCTCGCACCGTTCGGAAAGAGCCGTCGCGCGCTCGAAATTGGAAGCGTAACGGGCACTTCGCCGCAACTGCTCAGCCCCGCTCAATTAAGAGGCTCATGAAGGCACTAGACGGGAACGCGGGCGGTGTACGGGAGAAGAATAAGTCGCGAATGAGGTGTGGAGGGAATGGATGTGCACCCAATGTCTATAGAGTGTGTCGGAATAAATGTTGAAAACTTCTAGGGAATTTTTAAAGCTCCAAAATGATCACTCCAATGAACGTATAGTAGTAAATGTCTTGAGTTACACATGCGACATTTGCCCCTGATTGTTAGGCACCTGCTTATGCATATGCGTTCTACAGGTGACGTTCTGACGGAGTTAACGATATTTCATGTGCCTGTCGAGCACCTTCGCATAAGGACTTGCCTAACAATCAGGGGAAAATGTTATTGATTTTTGATTGATTGACTGGAAATTCCGGATGCCCCAACTGTTAGGGTAATTAGTCCCATACTTTTAGTGCATGTTTTGCCTCGGGAAATGGCGGTGATCTTCCCATGCTAAGTGATGAGATCCGGTGCCGACTTACCGTTGGCTAGCAGAGTTTTCCCCAGCAAAGCATCTTCCACCTGCGGGACACTACACCAGCCGGGGCAAGCTCTGAGCTCGCGGCAGGTCTCTCGGCATGTGGGGTAGTGTAGTACATGTGATCGTAGGTGTGTGTAAATAAGTGGCGAGAATAGAACAAGGAAGATCGCGCGCTGTCGATGGCCTGTTCGTTGAGTAACAGTCCGACATTCGCCTCATGTTGATCGGAGAAACTACGGAAAATTACTGATCAGAGCAACTGGCTGCTAGAATTCTCCTCCAGATAGCGGCTGAATTAGACATAGCTCTGTAAATAGTGTCGGAAATTCTGCCACCGTCGGGAGCGGTATCCTTGGTCCTACCAGTCAGAGACACTGCAGTGACATCAGTCGATGCCATGAGCCACTTCAACCAGAGGGGAAATGTTACGTATGTAACTCTGACATTTCGCACTGTCATTGTCAAAAAGTGATACGTTTCGATACCTCGACGTATCTTAGAAAAATGTTACATTCTCAGACGCCTGAAGAAATAAAAATGAAGCTTGGAAAGACATGGACAGAAAGATGAGAAAGATACTTTTTATGATCTTTGCGGATATAGTATCTAAGAAAGTAGATAGCTTTACGTATAAGAGAACCGGCCGCATGCAGAGGAGGAGGTGTCGCCGGAGGTGGCTGTGGGGGTGGGGAAGGGGTCGAGTGGGCGGATGGTTTGTCGGCGCGGCGTGGGCGCAGCGAGGGACCGCCGCCCGCCGGCCCATCTGCTGCGGGGCGTGTTAATGCGAGGGACGTGCGCACCGCTATTGGGTGTTTAGAGCGCCATCAGGCGGGAATGCCGGCCGCCGCAGCTCCGCAACCTCCCGCGATAATTGGCCCGCAGGTCGCGTCCTCGCTGACAGACCGGCCCGGTATCTGATGAACCCGGGCGGAATTTTCTCTCCTCTCTGGGCCTTTGGGGCGACGCCGCGCCGCCCCGCGCCGCGGTTGGGGGCGAGCGGGCGCACCCGCACACTTAATCACGCAGCGGCTGAGGTGTGCTCGTAGTTACGAGCAGATTAGGCCGAAGTCAGCCGGCAGTCTGTCGAGGAGAATTCTGAAGCGGACACTGTCTCTTCGGTGCGTGTTTAACGTGGTTTCTTCTACGCGATCAATACCAGGTTAACAAAACGACTACGATATCCTGCGCGCGGATCTTTCTTCCTTTTTTCTCTTGTCCTATCCTCACCCCTTTCCTACATTACACTCCTTTACGCATATCACTGCCACACGTTTGCCCATCGGGAGCTTCCATTGTGTCCTGGGTGGGGCGATGCTCCGCAGGTGGGAGGTATCTGGTTGGGGAAAACCCCACTAGCAGACGTGTAGGTCGGATCTAGCCCTCCAGAATGGGAAGTTCTCTGTCACCTTCCGCGACACAAACATGCGCTAAACTTTGAAGCGTCTGGAAACACTAATCAATGAATCAGAAGACACGGCGACAAGGGGTCCATCGAACACCTGCAACCGCGCGGGTGCCTCACTGAGTGCGCCGTGGCCTTCTCTCTCAGTGGGTGAACCTCGTGACATGTAGCTCCCAATCGTTGACCTCGTGTGTGGTCAAATGA